AACAGTTCACGGGTCTGCCCGCCTGCCAAAATTGCCAGAAGAAATTGTTGCGGAAAAGGTCTTCGGAGTTGGCATGCCTCTCCTTCAGCACAGCTGACATGAGGGGAAGGGGGGGGGAGGGGGAGGGGGGTTACACCCTCGCCCCCCCTCACAACTGAACATATAACACGTATTTGAACTTGGGTTGGCTGTACTCGCATACTACCATTGTCCTAAATGCGTTCGACTGCATTTATGGTCCGACTGGATGAATCTCACTGTAATCACCTGCAAAATCAGCAAAAAATGTCCTGGGGTGAGTATGGACTGAGCTTCAGCATTCAAATACCCCCGGTGTATGCCTCCACCTTCAGCACAGCTGACATGGGGGGGGGGAAGGGGAGAGTAGCCCCCCCTCCCCCACACCTCAAGATATAACACAGATTCGAACTCACGTGTCTATTTGGACGGTTCAGGGATACTCACACACTACGATTTTCCTGTATGTATCTCGGTTCTGTATTTTGACAGTTCATGACTATCTGTATCTCAACTTCTGAAGGCAGTTTTCTTTTTATAATCAGAACAAACCCCGGAGGCAGATTGAGATGCTGGTAGGAGCAGACATCTCAAGCTACTCCCAGGGAGGCTCCATCTATTAGTGGGGAGCTGCACCTGCTGGGAAACGGCCCAGCCCTTTTCCAAATTTCAGAAATCACAAAGAAGTTGTGTGCAGGGGGGCGCCTCCACAGTCCAGCAATCGGGCCATCGAACTGCAAACCCCTGAAGCTATCCAACCAAACTCTTTCAGGCCAATCGAGCTGCAAACCCCTAAACCCTTTTCACTAAATCTTTTGAGGTCCTGTCACTGTGTTTTCTGCCGTGCGCCGTGAAGGGCATGTTGCTTGCATTCCTTGCTGGGCCGACAGCTTGTCAATCCCGGTGGGGCCGAGGGAGGGGGGGGACAAAGGTAAGCGGGCGGGGGCGTGGCGGGGGGGGGGGGGGGGGGCGGCGGACCGGGCATGATCGAGGGGTGCGGGAGCAGGATGAGCTCAGTTTGGAGGTATGGGATGGGGAAGTCGTTCGTGGGCCTTCTCATCCAGGTCTGTTCTGAGGACCTCCAGGGCTTCCAGAGGATATTCAGTTCTGCATCCGATTCGTTGAACAGCCTGTGAGGGTCCTGCCATGTTTGGTTGTAGGAGTCGATGGTGGCAGCTCTGGTCCGCGGTACCTTTAGGCCAGCATCAGGACATGGAGCCTTGTATATGAAAACAGGTTAACTGCATAGGGGGACCATTGGGCCAGGTGGTGGAGGTTCTTTCCCAGCAGCAGGAGGCCAAGATCCCATGGGATGTGGTGTGTTGTTAGGGAGTGGAAGGCGGCATCCCACCACTGCCAAATTTGGGCGACCATCGGGCATGCCAGGAGGCAGTGCTCCAGGGTCGCACAGGCCGGGGGGGAAGCCCTACGACAGTAGGCGCATATGGGAGAGAGCTGGCCTTTCTGTTCCAAGTTGGTTCTGGACATGAGGCGATCCGGTGTTGGAGGCATCGGTGCAGGATCTGCCACTGCAGCGAGCGGAGGTTGGTGGGCATTATTTTGGGATATTTGGGCCAGGGGAGGTTGTGTAGGAGGGCCGGGTCCATGGGTGAGTCCCAAGCCCATCTCGCGGCTATGGTGTGGCTAACAGGGAGTGTCGGTCTTGAATCCCTGTACCCCCCTCGAATGGTGTAATCCCATATATGCATCGGTTTCCCGCTTGTCCATTTCCACTCAGCTGGATCAAAGGTAGGGCCTCGATCGAGGTCGAGGCTTCATAGGCGAAGAGACCCTCTTTCTGATCTCCCACCACCCGTATATTCATCAGTCCTTCCGGGTTTTCGTCACAGTCCAGGTCGGCGTTCCGTGTCAGCTTTGTCAGTCTCGCCCCCGGCAAGTCGGGCTCGTGGGCTTCCAAAGTGCAGTCTCTCTGGTCATTTGTCTGCAGATCACCAAAGGCAGAGGGCAGATCTCCAAGTTTGACCACCAAGTCTCCCTGCTGCACATCTGGCCCTTTTTTCAGGGCGAGCTGCCTGGCGAGGGTGATGGCTTCTCGAATCTGTTGCAGTTTGTTGTCCACATTTTCAGCGTACGTGAGCTGTTCCTGAAGCTGAGCAGGTGTGACCCAATCCCCGGTCCATAGGTCCCACAGGCTCCCAATCGTGTATATACTATATACCCTTTTTAACCCAGGTGAGCCATGGCAAGTTCATCGTCAGCGGGAAGGGTTTGCCTGCCTCGTCCACTATGTGAGGGTTGCCAAACAGCGGTTGACTCCAGATGTCGTGCCACCTGTCGGGAGGTCGTCTTTGCTTCGGCCCAACCCGCCTCCAGAAACCGATCATGTATGTGACCACAGCGGGTCGTTAGCTATGTCCTGTTTGGTGGCGTGGGTCGGGTCTAGTGCTGGCCCTTGGCATGCCGGGGAGGGTATGGACCAGTGTGCATTGGTCAGCCACTGAAGGGGGTGCACTCTGCTGTCGTCTGGCGACTCCGGGGCCAGGTTTGCGATGTGCAGGCAGGCCAAGGGCGCCCATGGGATGTCATTACCGGTGAGGAGTCTCACCAACACTTTGAAGATGAGGGCTTTGCTTTCTTTCTCAGGGTCGAGAATTCCTAGGCCCCCTCTGGATCTCGACTGGGTGTGTACGTCAGGGCTTTCTTGAGTCTTGCATATTGCTCTTGGCTAAGCGGCCATACTGTGAGCTTGTACCCGATTGCTGCCAGGATGGCATTGTTGATAGTCAGTGCTCTGCCAACCAGTGAGGTGTGCAAGCTGTCCATCTACTGCTTTTTAACCTGTAAACAAAAAACTCATGTGCTGGAATGAAAATCCTTCGCGCGCCCTGGCCCGCTTGACCACAAGTACGGGCAGGATGCGTGAGTATGACAATAAAACTTCCAGCCTTGCTGGACTGAAAAGTCCTTCGCACGCCCTGCTCCACTTGCGTGACTCGTGTTCCGCCTCATTCTCCAGGCTGCGTCACCATGCATAGCGCAGAAACGTTTTGCGATTTTGGGCCTTACCCCCCTCCCCTGCCCCCCAAGACTTCCACCTAACCATCTCCCCTTCCCCCTCGCTCCTCTCTCCCTCTCTCCCTTGTTCTCAATCTCTCGCTCCCCATCTCTCTCTCTCTCTCTCTCTCTCTCTCTCTCTCTCTCTCTCTCTCTCTCTCTCTCTCTCCCCCCCCCCCCATCTATGCCTCTCTGTCTCTCATGACATGGAGGGTAATGCGAAGAGGAAACAGATCGAGGAGAAAGACACGAGGAGGAGAATGAGGAGAAAGATGTGGGAGAAAGATGAGGACATTGAGGAGGAAGATGAGGACAAAGACGCGGAGAAAGATGACCAGGAAGGAGCATGGGGAAACAGAAAGGGAAATCAGAACGATAACTGAAACCGCCATAGTCTCTCAATCTCTCTCGCCCCCTATCTCTGTCTCTCTCTCTCCCCATCTATGCCTCTCTGTCTCTCATGACATGGAGGGTAATGTGAAGAGGAAACAGATAAGAGGACAAAGACATGAACAGGAGAGTGAGGAGAAAGATGCGGGAGAAAGATGAGGACAAAGACACAGAGAAAGATGAGGAGGAAGGAGCATGGGGACACAAAACAGAAAGGGAAATCAGAATGATAACTGAAACCGCCATAGTCCTACCCTTTTCCTGAGCCCACTTATTCGTGACATCAGCAACATCATTTTCGTACAGAGCAGCGGACGGCCAGGCCCTCTCGTCAACGGTCACCCATAGTGCCTGGGTAGTAGCCTATCTTTCCTTGATCCAGGCCGTTGGCCCAGTGGTACTGGATGGATGGCCCGGACCGTCCTGCGTCACTGGGTCGTGGCCCGGTAGGACGCAGACGGCCCAAACTGTCATGCATCGCTGGGCTGGTGGTCAGTGGGCAGGCATCACCGGTGATGCGAGGATGGGCAGGCGTCACCAGCGGGGGAAACTGGCGGAGCTAGTGCCGAGAAGTATGGCCAGTTGCTGTTGCATAGCACCCAGCAACATTGGCCAAGGTGTCGCCAATGCTGGCCTGGGGTCTAATGGGCTATCTCTAGATGGTGTGACCCCAAGCATGGCCAGGCACATACGTGAGGCAATGGGGATTGAACCCACAACCTCCTCAATGCAACTTGTGTGCCTTACCAACTGAGCGATGTTACATTTCTCATGTTATCGATTTTCAGCCAGCTTAGAGACATGATTAAATCCCCACGTGCGTGGACTTCGACTTGTGCGTGCAGACAAACAACACGAGTGGGGCCGTCAACACCCGAGTCTCCTTTTTTTTTTTTTTTTCCCTCCCTCCTGTCCTCGTTCACAAGATAAAACGGTACAGAGCAACATCAAAACGACTGCCTTGGTTTGTATGATCCTCAAGAGTGTCGAGGTAGCCTCGTCTCTTCAGGGCAAACATCGCTGACCGCTTCCGGCGATCAATGTGAGCCTAATAACTGGCCTCTACAGCACCCTGGACTTATAAAAAAAAAAGACAAAAAAGTGCCGAGGTTGAGCAAAACGTGCAACAATTGATGCCATGGTCGTGCAACTGCCGCTAGTGCCTGACTTGAAAAGGAACTGGTTATCCTAATTTCACCCGCACACAACTCCAAACAATTCACGGTACCACCGGTCCGGGACCAAAAACGGGGATAAAATAATAGTATGGAAAACTTATTCTGCATAAATACAAGGAGGATGTACGGCCAATACGGGGTCTTGTAGCACAGGGTTGAATTCTTTTCTCGAATCAGTGCTTAAAAAGGAAATTCGAAGAAAAGGATTGGAGGTTAAACATAAAAAAAAGAGAGAAAAATAAAGCAATCCATTTTTGTGAATCAGAAAAGGTGCAATGGTCAAGGCAACTTCGTTGCGAGTTCGGAAACAAAAGAAAAAACCATAAAGACTCGGGAGTCCGCATGCAACACCATAATAAGAGACTACATTCATGATTCGACCAAGTTTCACAAAGTTTATAAAACAATGGAGATTGATTATTTGAATTTTGTAAATACGTAGAGAAATCAGAAGAAAGAAACATAACAAAACATGTGGCTAAAAAAACAGACGGACCTCATAACCCTCAGGTCCTATCGAAAACCGAGTTATATCCTACTACTTCCGACAGCACAAAAACTACCAGGGGTATCCGATGACTCACCAAGATTCGATCCGCTGACTTTCCAGTCGGGACCTACCTTGCGACAGAAGGTTTGCAAGCTCTTTTCAAGCCCGCGCCTTAGGTAACTCTGCCACCTGAGTTTGAGTTCCAGCAACGGCAGGCATTCAATAATTCTCCCTGCTGTTAGAATGGACATCTGAATCCTGTGAAGACTGCTCCCTTTTCTCCCTGGCCCCTTATATTTCCCAACCCCTTTATTTGTCACCCCCCTTTATTTGTCTTGTAGAATTCCTGCCATTTGGATTGCCTGGACAACAGTTTCTTCTCGTGCAAGACACGCATTTGCCTGGACAAAAGACTCCTTCAACACCATGGCACCTGCCTGCAACTCTTCCACTCTCCTTTCAAGGCCGTCTTGGAGGAGCTTTCTCTTTTTCGCAAGATGTGCTGTGGATCTGCCATCTGCATCTTGGTCGCCGAGATTGTTGTTCGGCAGCTTTCCCTGTACTTTCACCGCCTGTGCCGTAGATTTGCTCGAACGTTGATTGTCACCTTCAACAGGATTCTCCCCTGCACAGCCGCCCCCCAGAAAAAGGAAAACGAAAACGAAAGCAGCGGCAGCAGTGAGGGACAAATTTAAAATTTTGAACAAATCACAAGCAGGCCCTCCCTGCAGCTAGAGAAGGCAGTATAAGTAGTTGAGTAACTAGGAGGTGCTTACATTGTGAACGTGTGGAGTTTCAAATTTGACCATTGGAAGAAAACGACTCCAAGAAAGGGTGACCAAAGCAGGGAAAAAAGAAGAAGAAAAAGAGATGTGAACAAAAGCAGACAGACAGACACACACACACACACACACACACACACACACACACACACACACACACACACACACACACACACACAC